TATGTATAATCATCAATATACAATGGTGCTGAGTTTAATCTATCGGCTGTATTTGTATAAGTATTTGTAAAATGTGATATTGGCAGATCTAACTGACTATGTAAAGGCTCTAGTTTATGACTTGAATGTGTTAACAATGATGGTGGTTGATAAGGAACCACCAGGATGTTAATCCAAAACAGAACAGGTATTTTACGTATATATATTAGAATTCATCCTCCTGTACATAGTACCCATATATAATAACCATACACCTAATCGCTTTATGGAATTCTGTCCCAGCTGATCTGAGAATCTGTCCCGCTTCAACCATTGACATCATACAACAATCACTTTTCCATTGTGGCGTCAGATATTTTGTAGTATGACGTCAAAATTTTACGTGAACCTTTGTGATGGCCAGTAATTGCAGACAAATAGCAATAAGTAGGATTCAAAGCAATCTTTAATAAATCAACTCTAATGAAATATTCTTATATGTATAGATGATCACATGACATCATGAACATAGACGTCACTTTACTAGTGCCGAAAATAGATTTTTCAAATGCATCTATTGAAAATAAATTATTGCATGCCTTTCATAAGTTCTGCTTTGGACATAACTGAATAACAATGCCGAATATAATGGAAGCATACATTAAGGTAAATTTCTTTATTTTCCACATAGCATCTGACAGCATTGAATGATACGATATGAATCAGCAGATTTATCGTTGTTTTAGAAGTTCAACGAGAAGTTATATATTTAACTTAGTTGGGTGGATAACATAACATTTATCTTGTCATTATAATATAAAAAAAGAAGATGTGGTATAATTGCCAATGAGACAACTCTCCAAAAAAAACCAAAATGACAGAAATAAACAACTATAGCTCACCTTATGGCCTTCACCAATGAGCAAAGCCCATACTGCATAGTCAGCTATAAAAGGCCCCGAAAAAACAATGTAAAACAATTCAAACGAGAAAACCAACGGCATAATCTATGTTTGCTCAGCATTCATCATGAAAACGATCACATTACAAATCATTTTAGGAAAGCACTTTGTAAGCAGACATTTCAGAAGCAACAAGTCTGTAGGCTGACTTGTATATTATCTGAACAAGTTCATTTCTTGTCAACTTCATAATTATTTCAAACATTTTAAAAGATTTCATCCAAATTTGGTCTATTTCTTTTAGCTTAATATTCTTGCTTTTTCAAAGTCATGTTCATTTATTTTTCAACCACGCCCAGAAACATGCGGTTACCTTTAATTTCAGAAAAGGATTTAGGGAAAGGCGATCTGGGTCACCCTTTTAAAACCTACATTTAATGTTAATGCAGACATATTACTTGTTCCAAACCAAACCTTGTCAAGTTTGGGGCCCCCGGGTACCCCTTCTTTCTATAATTCATCCTACATCTACTTTTGAATTTGTTGCTTATTTGTTATTTGGTCTATGAATATCTGTCTATATATTGACAATGAAACCACATCTTGATGGTCCCACAAAAATGTTGAAAATGTGTACATTTCATTTTTTTTCTATCTCCTCTCATATGATAGCAGTACCTTTTTGGTCACTATTCTGTGTTGCGTCTAAATATTAATTGTAACACTTTAAAGTGAATGAACAGGTAAAACAAATACTTCTCAAGAAACAGAAAAAGAAGACTACTTGGAACAGCACCAGACTATGTATGAATAAAAACTTAGATCGGAATAGCATGGATGATATATTTATACATTTTGTATATCATTGTGAATAAGCAAGGAAAGCTATTAATAATAGTGCATTTTTTAAAAGTTTGTTGGGTTTTTTATTCATATTCTGTTTGAATTTTCACACAATCTGTCAAAAAGGCAAAACTAACTTTACTGAAACTTTCAAACAATATGAGAAGTGTTTCATTCACCAAAACACTCTTGCGATTCTGCAAAAAAAAATCATGCATGATTTTGTAAATGAAAGGGGAAAGAATCTCCTGACACAGCGCACATGAGCATGTCAATTTCGAACTGACCCAATAATTTATATATCACGACCAGTCAACTGATACTGACATTATCAGAGATTACACATCAAAGGAAAAATGCACAAATTACCGATAAATTGTTAAATATGATATCATAGAATTAAATATGTTTTATTACAAAAAATGTGTTCTCAATCTTGTCGATAGATATAACAGAATGTCATATCAGTACCAAAGACAACTCTCCATCCAAGTCACAATTTGTAAAAGTAAACCATTATAGGTTGAAGTACGGTCTTCAACATGAAGCCTTGGTTCACACCAAACATCAAGTGATATAGTCTGTATCAATCATGACAATAAACATAAACAAACAAAACAACTATCGCTTACTAATAATCCTGACTATATGTATTACATGAACTTGTTGCCATCAGAAATGAAAATATAAATATTCCAACTAACAAAAGTATATGCTTACACATGCAACCAAATATAAAGCACTAAATGATAATACCAATATGAAGCTCTCATCTATAGAACTTACAAAAAAAATGTCAAGATTACACACCGCAACAAAATAATAAAAAATATAAGAAGCCAGCTGACAACATGTTCTAGAAAATTATTTGCAATTAATATTTCATTCCAAATCCATTACCACAAAACATCTTCTTACAGCTATACTACATCTGGAAATTAGTAATAACAACACTTAACCTGTACCTTCAAAACTAATTGCTTCTTCTAAGACAAAAGTCAGATGAGATATTCATCACTTGAAGTGCTCCAGCTAGAAATAGAAAGGGGCAGGGTGCCAGTGAATGGCAGGGCACTTTTTTATGATAGGAAAAGGCACTTCTCATTTCTTTTGTCTACGTTTCTGTGTGTATCACAAGTTCACTTTTTTTTTTACTATATATGTTGTTAATAAAGATGCATAAGTTGTTGTTTTGATTATTTATTCTATAAAATTTGCATTAGAAAAGTCATTCATACTACATGTTCATAAAACATGGCAATACACATTCATACATCAGATCACTATTAACCAAGAGAAGCGAAATAAACTTACTATTCTCCCCCCCTGGGAAAAAGGCGTCAGGGAGGGGCGCAATTGAAGGCACCCAGGGCGTGGCTAAGGGCACCCAGGGTGCGGCGCCCTTCTAATTAGGGCTAAAGAGACCACTGTCTTCTATACATATAAGATGTAATATTCTCATATTCGAACGTCCAACTATAGTAGTCAGAGGCGGATTTAGAGAGTTTTTCAGGGGATCCCCCCCCCCCTTTCTTGGGAAAACTTTGGTTGATCATATACATGTAGTGAATCACTGAAGCATGACTGGAGCGGGCCCCCTCTTATGAAAATTTCTAGATCTGCCACTGGTAGTCCATTTTGTCTAGCAGTAATCCTCAAAAGTAAATAATATGTTTTTCTTATCAACTTGATTATAACCTTGCTAACTATTACATAACTGTCAAGACACAGTATGCATGTTAAAACTACTTGCATTTTCATAAAGAGTAAACAATCATATTCCACAAAACAAACAAAAAAGTGTTTGTATCGTTGCTCTAGCTATTACAAACCATATATATATATATTATCATATGTGACTATCAAGCCTCCTTCAATGATAACCCTGATTCACCAATACTACAACTAAAATCAAAAACCAGGAGAAAAAAGACACTATATATTCTAATGCTTGGAGTGCAAGATTCCAATAAAAAAAACCTACACCGACAAACCACCGATCTCAATACATGTATAAGCAGCTAAAATACGGCAAGCTTTTTAGAAAAGCTATTACTTGTGAGCTTTAAGAATTCATCGTTTGAGGGATAAATATGGAATAGGATCCCAGTTACGGCAACCAGTCCGGTACCCACGAATGTAGTTCTTAAAAAAAATATATAACTTTTATTTAAAATGGTGTAGTTTTATTATTACACAAGTTCTGTAACTGAATGTAGATTTATTTGAATGGGTAGGCTTTCTAGCTTGAATTTCTGTAAAAATTTTGATTGATTTAAATGTAATCTGGCGTAGGTACATAGAGTAAATTGCCTAAATTCTAGCCTTTATTCTTCCCCGGAAGTAGACCGACCTACCCTGTTGTCAATCAAAACAAAATTGTGCAACGGAATGCCGGTCATGAGGCACTGAGATTGCACTTAGAAACTTCGAAACAAATGCCTAACGTGAAACAGAAGTCCCAAGGTGGCTATCAAAATTATTTATTGGACAGCACCCCATTTATTTACTATGATTTTCAATGCGTTTCAATGGGGGAAATAACTGGGTCCCCGTTCCTGTCAGAGGGCATATTTTGAACACTTCAATCTGCAATTGTAAGCTTATTTGTGGAGTTACATAGATGAAATTTGGCCAGCAACTTCAAATTTCAATAAGGAAAACAATGGTGTAATTATTTTTAAAATTTGAATTAAACTTTTTAAATTAAATTGAAATTTAAATTTATGAAATTTTTAAAAAGTTTGTTTTTCAATTTAAAGTTTCAAAAGGGGTTACAGTAAGGTCATTTTGATGGTATTATGTATTCATACACTTGTAAGTTAAAATGGAGGGATTTTTCGAAAAAAATCAGCAAAGAATATTAGAAAAGAGCCACCTGGCAAGAAATAACAAATGTCTTATATGGGATCAGGGGACAACAAAAGATGGAAAATATGGGCTTATTTCTTTCCAGTATCCTATTTCTGGGACCTGGAAAAAGAAAAAAGCCCATAGATTCAGTTTTATGGTTTTTAATTAGTTTTTGATAAGTTTTAAATATCAAATAAAACACTTTATGCCATTTTATGTGTCATAAAAGTTTGTGTGGGAATGCGGCTCACATTACTGAAGAGCCGCATCACATAAATAACGACAGAATATTTTGTAAACTCAGAAAATTTTGCCAGGGGCTCTCCAATTTTAAAGATTTGGGCCTGGATTTTTTTGGAAGATATATAAGGGGTAGGGCTATAGCTTATATAAACAATTTTAACTGAATACAACAATTTTAGACTCCTTTTTAAAGATTTTGGTGGTCCTTAAAAGGACCGTTAATTTTGTCTGTATCTTTTTCAGCAGTAGATGAATGCAGCTATATCTTCCTTGATTTTGGAACTTTTGAAGAACAGCTTCTGGTATGTATATTCTTCTTAGCAGGTATTACTCTACCATATGAATGATCGTCCATTATGCTTTTACAAATGCAGCATCAAGTTTTGGATCAGGTTGCCCTTTTTTATATCTATCTGTACGTTTACTTCGATCCTTTTCTTCCACATGAACCTTAGTCTTCTGTCCGGTGCGTTGTAAATTTTTCTTTTTCCTTTCTGGAGTATTTTGGTTTACTTTGTTCCGTTCACACTCCCTTTACATCTGGTCGAAGTGTTTTAATGAACCTTTTGAGATTTTAAAACCAATACATTCTGCTTTTTGTCACAAGGAATAAGCTGTACCATTATTCAAAGTGTGAATTATTGATGATGCCCTCCCTCCCTCCCTTCAAATTTCTAGAAAAGTTCATATTCTTTGGTAAGGAAACACTTAGTGCTCTGTAAACAGATTCACCTTTTTGAGTGTTATGATTAAATTTCATTTTCATTAATGCTTCTTCGCTAGGTTTCATTTTTAAAAGTTCCTACATTATTAACTTGTCTTTGTTATCCATATTCAGGTTGGTTAACTTGTTTGGACCCAAGTACATGGATCTCCTATGAGCCACCAACAGTTTGAGTGTCCACCACCACACACGTATGAACTAGTGGGACATTTAGAGCAGTCACAAGTATAACAACGCACAGTAGCATTAAGCATTCAGGCAAATCCAGGATTTCCCTCGACATTTGTTAAACTGTAGGAGGTGCCGTCTTGACTGGTTTTAGCTACAAGTGAGAACTTCTCTGCATCTAGCCTTTTCCATTGTATATAAAATGAACTTAGCTGACTGTTTGAAGACTAAGTCTCATGATTTATACCCTTGTTATGGGGTATGCTTCTTTGCATATGTAATTCTTATAAGATTTTTTTTTTTAATTAAAAAAATAATTATTATTAATTTTTTTTCAGCAGAATTTCTTTTTTAACTAGATTTCCATATCAAAAATGAATTTATCTACCATGTGCAATTTACAGAATGTAAATATCTTTTAAAATAAAAAAGTTTTGCTGATTTTAAGCATATTTTCTTCATGAATTTATGATTTTATCCGATCAATTTTCTGGTATTTGAGATGTCATAGATAAGGATCAATAACTCTGTAACTGTTGGATCAAATCTATTGAAACTTTGCACAATAACTACTGAGATGTATATCTTTATTTTAAAAGTGCAGTTTAAAGTCTGGAAAAAAAATTAAAGTCTGACAGGAATAGGATCCCAGTTACGGCAACCAGTCCGGTACCCACGAATGTAGTTCTTAAAAAAAATATATAACTTTTATTTAAAATGGTGTAGTTTTATTATTACACAAGTTCTGTAACTGAATGTAGATTTATTTGAATGGGTAGGCTTTCTAGCTTGAATTTCTGTAAAAATTTTGATTGATTTAAATGTAATCTGGCGTAGGTACATAGAGTAAATTGCCTAAATTCTAGCCTTTATTCTTCCCCGGAAGTAGACCGACCTACCCTGTTGTCAATCAAAACAAAATTGTGCAACGGAATGCCGGTCATGAGGCACTGAGATTGCACTTAGAAACTTCGAAACAAATGCCTAACGTGAAACAGAAGTCCCAAGGTGGCTATCAAAATTATTTATTGGACAGCACCCCATTTATTTACTATGATTTTCAATGCGTTTCAATGGGGGAAATAACTGGGTCCCCGTTCCTGTCAGAGGGCATATTTTGAACACTTCAATCTGCAATTGTAAGCTTATTTGTGGAGTTACATAGATGAAATTTGGCCAGCAACTTCAAATTTCAATAAGGAAAACAATGGTGTAATTATTTTTAAAATTTGAATTAAACTTTTTAAATTAAATTGAAATTTAAATTTATGAAATTTTTAAAAAGTTTGTTTTTCAATTTAAAGTTTCAAAAGGGGTTACAGTAAGGTCATTTTGATGGTATTATGTATTCATACACTTGTAAGTTAAAATGGAGGGATTTTTCGAAAAAAATCAGCAAAGAATATTAGAAAAGAGCCACCTGGCAAGAAATAACAAATGTCTTATATGGGATCAGGGGACAACAAAAGATGGAAAATATGGGCTTATTTCTTTCCAGTATCCTATTTCTGGGACCTGGAAAAAGAAAAAAGCCCATAGATTCAGTTTTATGGTTTTTAATTAGTTTTTGATAAGTTTTAAATATCAAATAAAACACTTTATGCCATTTTATGTGTCATAAAAGTTTGTGTGGGAATGCGGCTCACATTACTGAAGAGCCGCATCACATAAATAACGACAGAATATTTTGTAAACTCAGAAAATTTTGCCAGGGGCTCTCCAATTTTAAAGATTTGGGCCTGGATTTTTTTGGAAGATATATAAGGGGTAGGGCTATAGCTTATATAAACAATTTTAACTGAATACAACAATTTTAGACTCCTTTTTAAAGATTTTGGTGGTCCTTAAAAGGACCGTTAATTTTGTCTGTATCTTTTTCAGCAGTAGATGAATGCAGCTATATCTTCCTTGATTTTGGAACTTTTGAAGAACAGCTTCTGGTATGTATATTCTTCTTAGCAGGTATTACTCTACCATATGAATGATCGTCCATTATGCTTTTACAAATGCAGCATCAAGTTTTGGATCAGGTTGCCCTTTTTTATATCTATCTGTACGTTTACTTCGATCCTTTTCTTCCACATGAACCTTAGTCTTCTGTCCGGTGCGTTGTAAATTTTTCTTTTTCCTTTCTGGAGTATTTTGGTTTACTTTGTTCCGTTCACACTCCCTTTACATCTGGTCGAAGTGTTTTAATGAACCTTTTGAGATTTTAAAACCAATACATTCTGCTTTTTGTCACAAGGAATAAGCTGTACCATTATTCAAAGTGTGAATTATTGATGATGCCCTCCCTCCCTCCCTTCAAATTTCTAGAAAAGTTCATATTCTTTGGTAAGGAAACACTTAGTGCTCTGTAAACAGATTCACCTTTTTGAGTGTTATGATTAAATTTCATTTTCATTAATGCTTCTTCGCTAGGTTTCATTTTTAAAAGTTCCTACATTATTAACTTGTCTTTGTTATCCATATTCAGGTTGGTTAACTTGTTTGGACCCAAGTACATGGATCTCCTATGAGCCACCAACAGTTTGAGTGTCCACCACCACACACGTATGAACTAGTGGGACATTTAGAGCAGTCACAAGTATAACAACGCACAGTAGCATTAAGCATTCAGGCAAATCCAGGATTTCCCTCGACATTTGTTAAACTGTAGGAGGTGCCGTCTTGACTGGTTTTAGCTACAAGTGAGAACTTCTCTGCATCTAGCCTTTTCCATTGTATATAAAATGAACTTAGCTGACTGTTTGAAGACTAAGTCTCATGATTTATACCCTTGTTATGGGGTATGCTTCTTTGCATATGTAATTCTTATAAGATTTTTTTTTTTAATTAAAAAAATAATTATTATTAATTTTTTTTCAGCAGAATTTCTTTTTTAACTAGATTTCCATATCAAAAATGAATTTATCTACCATGTGCAATTTACAGAATGTAAATATCTTTTAAAATAAAAAAGTTTTGCTGATTTTAAGCATATTTTCTTCATGAATTTATGATTTTATCCGATCAATTTTCTGGTATTTGAGATGTCATAGATAAGGATCAATAACTCTGTAACTGTTGGATCAAATCTATTGAAACTTTGCACAATAACTACTGAGATGTATATCTTTATTTTAAAAGTGCAGTTTAAAGTCTGGAAAAAAAATTAAAGTCTGACAGGAATAGGATCCCAGTTACGGCAACCAGTCCGGTACCCACGAATGTAGTTCTTAAAAAAAATATATAACTTTTATTTAAAATGGTGTAGTTTTATTATTACACAAGTTCTGTAACTGAATGTAGATTTATTTGAATGGGTAGGCTTTCTAGCTTGAATTTCTGTAAAAATTTTGATTGATTTAAATGTAATCTGGCGTAGGTACATAGAGTAAATTGCCTAAATTCTAGCCTTTATTCTTCCCCGGAAGTAGACCGACCTACCCTGTTGTCAATCAAAACAAAATTGTGCAACGGAATGCCGGTCATGAGGCACTGAGATTGCACTTAGAAACTTCGAAACAAATGCCTAACGTGAAACAGAAGTCCCAAGGTGGCTATCAAAATTATTTATTGGACAGCACCCCATTTATTTACTATGATTTTCAATGCGTTTCAATGGGGGAAATAACTGGGTCCCCGTTCCATATGTCAAGTGAGGGGAATATAAGTAAGGGGAGGGAAACCAATGATAATATGCTGGGAAGATCTTATTCGAACCTGTTGGAATTTTACCATATCAATTGAGTAAATATCAGAGGTTATTGAAAAATAAATCGTATCTTGCCATTGGTTTAAAACATTTACGTCAAAATGACAATAAGTTATAACATGAATGTTTATATATTTGAACTCTATTATTCTAAAATTAAAAGGTCAATACAGTTTTGTTTACTAACTAACGCGTATTAATTACAGCCATGCACATATTTAAATAGGAATCATAATAGGCATATATGATTATAAAATGGCAACATTTTAAATAAAACCTTAAATTTATATGTTTCCGTTGTGCACATATTTTTGTACAACATTAACGAATTGATGACAGGAAATTTGCATTCTAACTGCAATGCTTCTTTGAACGTGTCACCAGGTCGTTGTATTTCAACTGTTCGATAGTTCTTAACTTCTGTTACTCTTGAGTCACTTTTGCGACAAAAGTCGCAGTCTTGTCAAAAAAAAAGATGTGGAATGATTGCCAATGAGACAACTCTCCACAAGAGACCAAATGACACCGGCAGAAATTAACAACTATAGGTCACAGTACGGCATTTAACAATGAGCAAAGCTGTAAATACAGGCCCCGAAATGACAAATGCAAAACAATTAAAACGAGACTGAAACTAACGGTCTAATTTATGTACAAAATAATGAACGAAAAACAAATATGTAACACTGCAACCAACGAAAACCACTGAATTACAGGCTCCTGACTTGGGACAGGCTCATACAGAATGAGGGGTTAAACATGTAAGCAGTGCTATGGTAGAATATTCCAATATAAGAACAAACCATAATAAAATGCTTCGCTGAGCACAGCCTGATACGACCGCAGAGGTACATGTAGAACCCTGAACAGTTGGGGCAAATTTGGACACAATATTGAGTTTTACTGTGCGTACTGTTGTGCGTTTGTTTTTCTACATTGGCTAGAGGTATAGGGGGAGGGTTGAGATCTCAAAAAACATGTTTAACCCCGCCGCATTTTTGCGCCTGTCCCAAGTCAGGAGCCTCTGGCCTTTGTTAGTCTTGTATCATTTCTAATTTTAGTTTCTTGTGTATAATTTGGAGTTTAGTATGACGTCCATCATCACTGAACTAGTATACAAATTTGTTTAGGGGCCAGCTGAAGGACGCCTCCGGGTGCGGGAGTTTCTCGCTGCATTGAAGATCCATTGGTGGCCTTCGGCTGTTGTCTGATCTATGTTCGGGTTGTTGTCTCTTTGACACATTCCCCATTTCCATTCTCAATTTTATTTTTTACAGAGTTTGTCTTTAGTGCCGTGTGGAGACAGTAGAGTGCCTCCCCGTGCTTCAGGTTTATGCTCTTATAATATACTAGATTATGGAGTGTGTGTCCGAGCGAAAACTTCTCTATGTTCATTACTTTAGGAATATTTATCAAAAAGTAGTATTTCACATTCAGCCCCATTCTTCTATTTAGTCAGACGTCAGTCGCTACCCTGATATACCCTATCTTTTGTTTTATTTTTCGGGTAATTTATGACGGATAGCGTTTGACGTCTTTAGCCGAACAGTTTTATCATATTCACATAATTTAATTCATTGTGTGCTGGTTCATATTCTGGACGCCAGTCTTTGCTCCTTTCTAATAAAATCCACATAACAAAAAACAAATATGAAGCTTAGAATTTGAAAAATATTAAATACTAAACTCGTTCAAAGGGTATCTACACGTCTAAATCTTCAAAATCGCTTATCTAAAAATACTACCATCGCTAACATTTTTAACAATAAAATCGTGGTTACCGTTCTATCGATAAGTGTCATGCCAAAAAAATGACTTACATGTCCCCGTCTTTCCACCAACAATACGGTAAGGTCTACGTTTAATGGTCGCACATTTTCTTTAAAATTTTGAAACTGATATAACTTGAAAAACAAACAGTATTATTTATTTACTCACATGAAACAAACCGGGATGCGGTATTCAGTACGCAGGTGAAACTGGACGATATTTATCTAAACGCACGCAAGAACACCTGTATCGTTTTAAAAGACCCAATAAATTCAAAAGTATCATTTATCAACATCTTAAAAAGCACAATCATCCTATTAAATATTTAACAGTTCAACCTTTAGAAGTAGTAAATAAGCAGCCTGGTGAATCTCATTCAAAGTTTGTACGATCACGGAAAATATTTGAATTAAATTGGATTAAAAAATTACAGACAGTCTACCCTCTCGGTCTTAAAGATAATATCATGGGAATTGGTAATATATCAAGAACAGATTATGTTAACATTTTGGATATAGTTTCTAAAACTGTTCGTAAAAACCGTTCTCATGGGCGTAGAAAAAATCGCAATCAAAGAAAATTTCGGACCAACCATACAAATATTTCGGACCTAATTTCTATTTCAAAAAACAACGGCAGACATTATCTATTAACCAAGCTCTGTTCTTTACCTATAAATAAATTAAATAAAATTTTAGAGGATTGCAACACAATTTCATATTGCAGTCCTAAGTATGAAATCGTTCAAATTATAATGGCATATTGTTATTCTAAACTGTTTCCCAAAATTGATCGCCCTGAAGATCATAAAAAACATTTTATTAAAATAAAGTATGTCAATAAAGGTTTTGATTTTGTAAATATTGCCGGTATTTTTAACGACCATTCTGTTAAAGAACAAATTCCTGGATATTTTGATAATAATGAACTCCCTCTTATTTGTTATATTTACAAGAAATCTACCCGAAAATTTGTGTTTAGTTATAGCCAAGTCTGTAAAGATGTAAATATTAGTGAAAATACACCTACGTCATGTAATTGTAGTAATTCCGAATACACTTATGGCCCCATTTCCCATGTTATAACAGGAGACCTTAACATCGTTTGCGACCGAGAGTTAAAATCATTCCTCAGTAAAGGACCTAAATATCGTCCCCCGTAAATTATTAATTGGAATGAGTGTCGTAATATCATCCACGACTCACTTCGTGCTTACTGTTTGAAATGGATAAAACGGGAAAAAGCTGACAAAAAATCTTTGGACTCTTTTTTTAATTCAGTAATGAAGATAGTTGATATACGTATACAACATTTTAAAGAACATTTTACTCTTAACAACAACCATAAAAGTCCTATTTCTCGTATCAAACATAAACTAAAAGAACTAGCCGAGGAATTTGTTTTTGTCCCGGCTGATAAAGCTGCTAATAATATCATTATAGTTTGACGTAAATTTTACATTGAGGTTCTGCAAAAGGAAATCACGAATTCACCAACATTCCAACTGACTTCATTTTCAGAAAACGATATCTGTAACAAACATAAACTATTAGCTACTTCTTTACAAGCAAAACCAAATACAATGAAAGTCCCAACTATGTACTGGCTTCCGAAGCTACACAAATCACCTTACAAATATAGATTTATTTCGTCTTCAAGTCATTGTTCCACTACTAAATTGTCTATTCTACTTACTAGTACACTTGGTACAATCAAAAACCTGATAATAAATTGTTCAAATAAGGCCTTTGAAAATAGTGGAATTAACTACTTTTGGAGTGTCAAAAACTCGTTGGAAGTACTTGATAAATTCCATGCATATATTGGTGATTTTGAATCTGTTCAAAGTTTTGATTTTTCTTCCCTATATACCACTTTGCCTCATATTCTTATTAAGAAAAAATTCACACACCTAATTAAATGGGCATTTAAAAAGTCAGAATGCGAATACATATGTTCAAACTCTTTTAGGTCATTGTTTAGTAGCAACAAACAAAAGAACTATTTTAATTGGACATGCTTTGATACCATATCTGCCCTTGAATTTTTACATGATAACATTTTTGTTCGCTTTGGAGATTCCGTATATCGTCAAGTTATCGGAATTCCAATGGGGACTAATTGTGCACCATTTATTGCGGACCTGTTTTTGTATTGTTATGAGTTACAATTTATGACTAAAATCAGCAAAGACCTATCGAAACAACATCTGATATACAAAAATTTAACAATACTTTTAGATATTTGGATGATATATTGGCTCTCAATAATGACGACTTCAGTGTGTATACTAAAGAAATTTATTCTGTTGAACTTACTTTAAATAAAGCTAATACTAACAATGACCACTGTCCTTTCCTCGATCTTGATATCTATATCATTAACGGGAAGCTTAATACAAAAATTTATGATAAAAGAGATGATTTTTCATTTCCTATCGTTAATTATCCATTTTTAGATGGTAACGTTCCCTTGTCACCATCTTATGGTGTTTATATATCTCAA